TCATATGATTCTGATTATGAAACTCAATTTACAACAGGATAAGTTCTTGATATTTGATAGATGTCAAAGTAATTACTGCCAACAGATTGTAGAATTAGGTATGATTTGTAACTTGTATATAACTAAAATTGACTTTATGGTACTAGTGCAGAAAAAAATATTATTTTTCTAGCCTTGAAAGTGAATGGGTAAAGAAGTCCCCTTTCTAGAGATAATCAATAAACATTTATACTTCCATCTTCCTTCTACATATGAATTTGCTTCATATTTCAGGGTTGTTACTGCCCTATGAAACCATCATCAGAATGTTTTCTATTTGTTCATTCCTATCCTTTATATAATTTCAGTATTGATGATTGTCAAATATAATGTGAGAGAATGTTTTAAAAGATCAAGATATGAGTAAAATGTTTGTACATGATCACTATGTCATCTTTACATCTATAATGTTTTAAGTAATGGCCAAGACTGCTTCCATCTCAGGTACCTAATTCCTTTAAATGCTGTCACAGGACAGAACATTAGCACATAGGTAATTAAAAATTAGCTATTGACAGTCATGGGATATGGTGTCAGATGAGAGCTGTCACACAGTTAATTATCTAACTGTGATATATATCTAATATATAGGCTTCTTGTTGAACCCAAATCATATTTATTAAAAATAGGTTTTCTTTAGTCTTCTTTCTGAAATTATCAGAGGTCATATAACTCTCATGGAGTCATATTCTCCACTCAGGCTCATGAACCTACTGTTAGCTTTCTTACAATTTTCTTGGAGATATAAATATGCAATAATTGAAGTATACTAAAATTATCAGTGACATAAGTTTTAACTCACTATATGTTTTAGTTAAGGAATGAATAAACATATTGTCAGTAACTGATTAAGAAAAAGTAGGTAATGACTGCAAATTATTTTATTCTCTATATATTTATGACAATGTGCTTATCTTCTAATGCTTGATTCCTAGATCCACAACACTGTCTAATATATTGGGCCATCGTGTATGAGGAGCTATCCTCTCCAAATCAGCCCCTCACACTTCTTATTTATGAATCAATAATTGATTTTCAAGGCATATGATTGTGAATATAAAGCTTGATCTGGACTATCTCTTATTCTATTTAGGAAAACAAAACATTTACAGTCGATTAATAATAGAAAAACCTATTCTTTTCTTTCTTATAATATATTTTGCAATTTTCTTTTTTAAAATTTGGTGAGAAATATTGACCTCCTGTTTTTTCTATAACTTAAAATATTAGATTTTTCCAAAAGTTGTTAACTTAATTTTTTTATTTATGAGAAGTAAACTTTATGACTAACTTGTAATATGTGTAAACTGAAGAAAAAAAGCGGGAAATGTATTTTCTTAGCTAATTATTTATGTTCTTCTGTCTGTGTTTAGAAAATATTTATGAATACCTGATGGAAAATTATAACCAAACATCAACTTATTTCACCTTATTAGGGCTGTTCCCACCATCAAGAATTGGCTTGTTTGTATTTATTCTCATCATTCTTAATTTTCTAATGGCTCTCATTGGCAACCTGTCCATGATCTTTCTCATCTTCTTGGACAATCATCTCCACACACCCATGTATTTTCTACTTAGCCAGCTCTCCTTCATGGACCTGAATTACATCTCCACCATTGTTCCCAAGATGGCTTTCAATTATCTTTTCGGAAACAACTCAATCTCCTTCATTGCATGTGGCGTCCAGAGCTTCTTCTTCTTGACATTGGCAGGTGCAGAAGCACTTCTCTTGGCATCTATGGCCTATGATCGTTATGTGGCCATTTGTTTACCTCTTCACTACCCTATTCGCATGCGCAAGAGTGTATGTTTGCTAATGATTGTCGGAGCTTGGATAATGGGGTCTATCAACTCCTGTGCCCACACTGCATATGCACTCAACATTCCCTATTGCAGATCTAGGGTTATCAATCATTTCTTCTGTGATGTTCCAGCCATGTTGACTCTGGCTTGCATGAACACCTGGGTCTATGAGTACACGGTGTTTGCAAGCACCACCTTCTTCCTGGTGCTTCCTTTCATCGGCATTACTTGTTCCTATGGCCGCTTTCTCCTCGCTGTGTACCGCATGCCCTCCTCGGAAGGGAGGAAGAAGGCTTATTCCACCTGCAGCACCCACCTCACGGTGGTGACTTTCTACTATGCACCCTTTGCTTACACCTATCTACGCCCACGAGCTTCTAGATCTCCAACAGAAGACAAGGTTCTCGCTGTTTTCTATACTATCATCACTCCAATGCTCAACCCAGTCATCTACAGCCTAAGGAACAAGGAGGTGATGGGAGCCTTAATGAGAATCAAAAAATCTTTGTTAAACTGTAGATAAAAGTGTCTGTAGAGGTTATAGGTCTGGGTTACTGGTCCAAACTATAGAAAAGTTAACAGTTATGAAAATATGATTCAAAATGAAAATAAAATAACTTATTTTATAGGATTAAAAAACTGATATTTGATGTTTTGTTGTAATGATTTTTCCATCGATGTTAATGAAATGCGTTTCCCAAATATTTCTGAACAGTGTTTTGTAATGTAGAAAAAGTAAATAGAGAGTGCTTAACTTGAAGTTAGTATTCAGTATATAGTCCGACTGTATTTATTTATTTTCCAATGTGAATTAACTAGGAGAACAACACAGTAAATATTTCACAATGGCAGGCTATAACTGAAAGCAAAGGAAACAGTTTTATTTCTATTTTTTTCCTTATCATGAGTGTAATTATTCTTATTTTCCTAATGTTCAGAACTTGCATGTGTAAGACATGCAAGGAGATTGTCAGATATATTCAGAAGACCTTATGTCACTATGGAAAATATATGTTTATGTCTTCAGTGAGATTAAGTTGGGTAAATGATAAGTAAGTGGTTTATTCCAGTCAATAATTAGAGTTGAGAAATTATCAGCTGATGTTAGAGAATGAGAGCGTACTTTATAAAAATGTTTATGCAATTTATACAACTTCGGAGCTGTTCAGATAATACTTTCACAGAACAAACTGAATGACTTTTTCTTCACCAGAAGTTTCAACATATAAATGTTTTAAAAGCCATTAAAAATAACCAATATTTTATATGATTATTTTATATGGTTTATATTGTGTCTCAGTCGAAACTTATTATTGATTATTGATTCAATCACTAGGGGCCATTTTTAATCCAAAATATTTAAGAATATTAAGCAAAATATTTAAGTATATAGCATATTAAGATTGTATCATTTCATATTTTAAAAATAATACACACCCAAAGTGACCAAAACCATCCTTTACCCATAACCTATTATAATATAAAGTTATTTTTGACAACATAATAGACTTTTTTAGCAGAATTAATGTAATTAAAAAATATATGATACCTAGAATAATAAAAATTAATCACAAATATGGTATTTAAGTAATTTCTGCTTATAGCTTATCAACTTATCACGTTATCTTAAATTTATTAATTTGTTTTCCAATATAATAAAAATAGTTGAAAGATATACAGTGAAGTTATTAATATGCAAAATAATATATTAAAAAGATGATTGCATAAAGCAGTACTGAAATTATAATATTGGAAGGATATAACTGAATTTTATCTGTCTACCTATGTTTGTATCATTAGTAAATTGACTTTTAATACACCTGTGAAAATAGAGGGACATAATGATCAGCACTCCTTGGCCCGAGTGCATCCTGTGTCATTAGTGACCTGTTAATGCTATCCATTTCTTACAAGACTTTCTCAAGTGAATAAAAGACAAATGTCATACAATACATATAATAGAAGCCAACAGCAAGAATTTTTTGGTCTTCGTTGAGTTATATAAAATGTTAGGTGAAGGAATGAGAAATGAATATGTACTTTAAGTATATTCAAAGTATATATTTTGAGTATTCAGAAAAATCACTTTGTTCATATGATGATAAGCAAAATTACTGTCAGTTTACCAAGCCAGAAGTTTGTGTTAAGATTTTTTTAATTAACAATTTAATTTTGATTTTATTTTTATTCGTTGTATATGGGAGGGACACTCCTGCAAGTGATTAAAATTAAGTTGGTTAGGATTATGCCCAGCTATTTATAAAGGAGAAAAATGAGCAATTGAGAATCATGTATCTCATTAGCCAGAGAACCTCAAAATGAATATTTTGATAGGCTTGAGGACTGAGATAAGGAACTTTAGTGGCATATGCAACATTCAACCATTTCAAGGGGTGGGTAGAATATGATAAAGAAGCAATGGTATTTAAGTAGAAGCCTGAGCTACACTAAAGGCATTAGCAAAAACAATAATCCAAGAATTGACAAAATACCACTTGAAAATTTTAAACATTCTGATAAAGCACTGGAAGCACTCATGAGTTTATGCCGACAATTTTGAAGACAGCTACTTGGTCAACTAACTGGAAGAAATTCATACTTGTATGCATTCCAAAGAAAGGTCAGCTGACAGAGTGCAGAAATTATCAAACAATATTATTAATATTATATACAAGTAAAATTTTATTTGAGATCATCCAACAGTGGTTGCAGCAGTACATTGATAGGGCACTGCTCAAAATTCAAGCTGGATTCAGAAGAGGACCTGGTACAAAATAGAACATTGCTGATATCAGATGGATCTTGACTAAATGTACAGAGTACCAGGAAAATGTTTACTTGTATTTTAATGACTGTGCAAAGACACTCAGCTGTGTGAACAATGGAACACAATGGGTATCCTTGAGTAGAATGGTAATTCCAGAACATGCCACTGCACTCATGCCGAGCCTGTGCATGGATCAAGAGGCTTCTGTTGGACCAGAGCAAGGTAATACTGCATGGTTTCAAATCATGAAAGGTGTGAGTCAGGGTTGTATTCCTTTACCATATTTAGTCAATCATTATGCTGATCAAATAATCTGAGATGTTGAACTCTATAAGCAATATAAAAAAAAGAAATATCAAGATTGAAGGAAAGCTTATTCACAACCTGTGATATGCAGATGACAAACCTTGCTTGCTAAAAAGTGAGGAAAATTTAAAGCATTTTCTGATGAAGATCATGGATTGTGGGCTTAAATATAGATTGAAATTCAATGTAAAGACAGGCAAAATCCTCACAACTGGACCAATAAACAACTTCATGTACAAAGGGAAACAGTTTGAAGTTGTCAAGTGTATCAACTTGCTTTGATCCACCATCAATGCTCATTGAAGCATGAAATGACACATTGCATTGGGTGTTCTACTGTATAAAATCTCTTTAAAATGTTGAGGAGCCGAAATGTAACTTTGAGGATTAAGATGTACCTGACCCAAGTCATGGTATTTTCAACCACCTCATATGGACATGAAAATTGAACATTGACTGAAGAAGATCAAAGCACAACCAATGCATTACAATTATGGTGTTGACAAAGAATATTGAAAATTATCATGGTCTAAGAGACAAATCTGTGTTGGAAAAAGGTATGGTCAAAATGCTTCTTGAAAGTGAAGATGGAAACATCAGGCGAGAACACATTGCTGGTAAAGTAGAAAGGCAATGAAAAAGAGGTAGACCTTCAATGGCATGGACTGACACAGTGACTGCAAAGAATGGATCCAAGCATAACAATTATTAGGAAAGGTTAGTTCCGGGAATTGCGACCCTTTGTTGTACATAGGGTGGCAGTGAGTCTAAACAGGAGAGAACAACAATCATTGCATAGCGGAATACATGTTGGGCTGCTAAATGCAAGGTCAGTGGTTTGCAATGAGCCTTTCTGTTCTCATTCATTAAGATTTACAACCAAGATGACCCACCTGGTCAGTACTCCTCTGCTCGATAAGGTCACTATGAGTCAGAATGTGTTTGAAAGAAGTGAGTTTAATTGGTTGTTTAACACTGAGATATAGTTTTAAATGAATACATTTAATAACTCATAATTGCCTTTATACTGAATAGAAGAAACAGTACATGATTCAGTGTGACTCACATTCTCTAAAATTGCATGTTCAAAGAAGCTGTATAAAGTACCCCGGCTGTAAACCAGTATTTGAAGTATATACTATAGTATGTTTCTATCTATGTCACAATATCTGTACAGCTTTAAAAATTATCTATGGTTAATGTTGATGATTTCTTAATGTGGATTTTTACAGAAGTATATGGTTTATAAACACAAATTCTCACTCTGCATTCTCTTTATGATGTTTATGTACCATTTAGCCCTAAAATGTTATTTTTTATTATTTTCTATTTGTATAAATTTCTAAATGATTGAAAATATTATGTCTCTAAATATCAAATAAAATTGTTAATTTCTAAGTCATTAAAGTAATGAAAGATGTTATGCAGTTTATTTGAAAACCTGGAAGCCATCAGAGAATTTTCCTTTTGATGACAGCTGTAATCTGATTACTAAAATGATAAGCAAAATTTCCCCCAAATAAGAACTTTTAAAGTTCTTGTTGTGGATGTAACACATACACTAGAGTTCATTTAGATGCTTAAATAAGCCATTTTTTCTTTGATGGTGTGTGTATATCCTTTGAACAATATTAGTGGTATTGAAGGGGAAAGTCCAAGATGCTATGAAGGCATGGGTTTAAAAAAAATAGAAGCAATACTTATGGAAAGAATAAAAAATTTAGATAATCCAACAAACTGATGCAACATTGGAAGTGCTCACATCGGTCAGAACAAACAAACAAAAACACAAAGGAAGACATCTACCTAAACAACTGAATGGAAGAAAATCATATATTCATGTCTGTACTACATCCAAAGAAAGATGATTAAACAAGATGCAAAAATTATGAACTAATACAAATATCACTCATAAGTTAAATTTTGCTGAAGAAAATAGTGCAGTAATTGGTAGAGAATAGCCAGCAATTCAAACCAGATTCTGAAGAAGATGTGGAATGAAAACTATCGCTGCTCCTGTGGGATGAAAACAGACTACCAGAAATATGTTTGCCTGGTTTTTTATTGATTATATAGGTAAAATATTTGAGGATAGGTAATGAAAAAAACTATGGGTACTTTTGTGAAGAGTGGAAATCCCAGAACACTTAATTGTGCTCATAGGAGACCTGTACATCCATCAAGAGGTTGTTATTTTAATATAACAAGAGAGAATAATCCCTGGTTTAAAATCAAGAAAGATTTGTGTCAGGATTGTATTCTTATAGCAGATGTTTTCAGTCAGCATACGGAGCAAAAGACAAATTTGATACGCTAGCCTGCAGGAAGCAGACCGAGGCACCAGGATTGGAGGAAGGCTCAGTAGCAACCTGATAGAAGCATTGATTGCACCGCTTTGCTTGCTTAAAGTGAAAATGACATAATGATGAAGATCAAGGCTAACAGCCTTC